CGGCGAGCTGGTCGGCATTGGAGTCGATGAGCTGGTCGGTACCGAGATCGGCGGACTGGTCGGTGCGGGAGTCTCTGAGTTGGTCGGTGCGGGAGTCGGCGAGCTGGTCGGTGCGGGGGATAGCCGTCGATGCAAGAGCCAATAGCATCGATGCAAGAGCCAATAGCATCGTGGATCTCTCGTGCGGTCATCGACCCCAGAATCGGCGAAACGGTTCCGACTCCCTCACCGCCCAGCTCTCACTCCTGGACAGCCTCGGCCACAATCACGCCAGCCATGGCGCCAGCAGGGGTGCGCACAGCCTCCCAGCGCACAGGCCGCCCAGCACGGCTGGCCAGCCCGCGGGCGTTCCGCGGGCGGCTCGGGCGGCACTGGCAGCTGAATGCCCAGAGCTCCTGCCGCTGGAGGAGGGGGCAACCCAGGCACGCTGAGAGACCGAGGAAGAGGGCGCCGCCTTTGCAGCCATGCGCGGGAAGGGCTTCAAGGAGCGGATCCAGCATCCCGCGGCGGCAGGAGGAGGGGGGCCCTCACGCGCAACATCGGGGACCGAGAAGCTGGGCGACAGACGACGAATTCAGACGCGCGCCTGCTCACGGACCAGCTCGCGTGAAGGAAGTCGCCGCCCAGCGGACTACCCAGGTTTGGAAGATCCGCACCGCGGGGGACCGCCTCCGCCCGAAGCACACGCTCGGCGACACCGAGGCCGTGCCACGGCATTCGGCCGAACGGGTCCGCAGCGCAGCCAAGACATTCCGCCGCAGCACTGGGGCGAGTAGCGACCGCCTCAACCCTCGGAAGGCAGCGGGCCTGAGCGACGACATCCTGGAAGCCGTCATCGGCTTCTGCATGAAGAGCGAGGAGCTGGGCGGCTGGCCAGACGTGATCATGCTTCCCAAGTCCCAGGGCGGCTTCCGCCCCATCGGGCTGATCGGATGGCTGACCTGCCTCTGGAGCCGGGCACTTTCAGCTAGATGCTCGGCGGCGGGGCTCCGAGATCAACCCAGCTCTCGAAAGAACATTCCATTCCGGGGCGGACAATGGCGCGCAGCCGAAGAAGCTGCGCAGCGGCAAGCCTTACGATCGGAGGCTTCGCACGCCAGAGAAGAGAGCGCAGCTGCGGCGCTCATGGACCTATGGAAGGCGCACGAGCTGGTGCGCCTCGCGATCATCCAGGAGCGCAGCGTCCTAGCCAAGTACCCGCGGGGTCTGCTGGGCATGGTACTCACCGTCTACGCGGGCGAGAGGAGGTTCACGCTCGGCGGCAGCATCTCCGACGCCCACCCTCTGGACGCGGGCCTCATCGGAGGCAATGCGCACGAAGGGCGGCCGATGAAATGTGGCCTTTGGGCACTAGCAGACGAGCACGCTCGGACGCGGCGGCTGCTGGAGCCAAGAGTTTCGCTCGCGATCATGTTCGGCCACCGTTGCGCGGGCCGCCATGTCGCGACGGCGCAGGTCGCAGCGCGAACGGCGCGGGCGATCAAATCTGTGGTCGCGCAACTGCAGGCCTTGGGCTGCATGGTCTCAGAGGACAAGAGCGGGCCACTCGCAAGCTCGCCTGAGCTCGCGCCCTTGGCGGCTAAGCGGATGGGCGGCATGGCCTTCGCAGTTGCCGACGCCGTCAGGACCCTGGGAATAGACTACTGCCTCGACGGCCAGGCCCGCGTCGCCCTCGAGGCGCGCTACACGAAGGCGGCACCCCAGCTCCAGCGGCTGCATGTCATTCGCTCGCAGGAGACCCCTGCGGCGGCGCGAGCGGCCAACGCTGGCCTACGCCAATCAACGCGGCATGGGCTCAGCGCGGTAGACTGGCCGACGCAGCAGATGGCCAAGTGGGGGCGGCAAGTAAACGCAGCGCACCATGGGCGAGGCCCTGGCAAGAGCATCAGCCTCAGCTTCCTGCCCAGCATGAGGTTCTCGAGCGACCCATTCCTGGACCACGCCAGCCTGCCCATCATCGCGCGGGCCGAGGCGGCGCAGATCAACTCGGACGGCAAGGACCTGAGGGCCACGGGCAGCGCGTTCGCGGGGGCCATCGAGACGCCCGCGGAGAGAAGGCCCGAGGCGCTCGCTGGCAGGGGCCCAGCATCGGCATGCGTTTTGGCGCGCCATCGCCCGCGCTGGACAGCGGCGCGGCCAGCGCTGCTAACCACTGACCAGAAGCGCGAGCTGGACCTGCGGACCCTGGGCGCATCCACCTCGGCCAAGCACATTGCTGCAGGACATGAGCCAGTGCTCTGGCGAGAAATGGGCAAGCACCCAGGCATCGAGCACTTGGTGGAGGGAGGCGCGCTGTCCAGCATCAGGCGCACTCCCCATCGCATACGCATGAGCAAGCAGAAGGCGAAGCAGCTCAGCTCGGCCAAGAACGCTCTGGTCGGATGCCTGTGGCCGGTCGCCAGACGTTTCAACTCTGACCGACCTCTGGCATCTTCTCCGCGGTGCCCCAGGGGCTGCAACGCCCACGGTACGGCGAGGATCTTGGCGCGGCTGTGCCCCGCGACGGCCTTGGGCCGCGCGGAAGTGGCAGGCCAGGCCTCGACCAGGTCCGCCGTGATCGGCGAAGTTGCGAGCTGCGCATGAGGAGCCACTGCGTGTTCCCTGACTGTTCAAGGAGGACATGTGGCCGACACGGCACGTGGCTGGGCACCGACGGGGACACCATGTGGACGTGCTTGGAATGCGCGGGACGCGGCGAGGCCATCTCGGGCTCATTACAACGCTGGCGGGAAGAGGGGCTCGAGAACAGTCTCACCGGCGGCGGCGCTCCTCACGGCGGGCGCCACGCTGCTCTCCAGCCAGGCCAGCGGCTCACATGGCGACGCGCCTGGTGCTAGAGACCACGGGCATGATTGCGGCGGCGGGCCAGCGGTCGATGGAGTGGTTGACAGCAGCGGAGGGCGCGCCACCAGCGACGCCCAGAAGGAGGCAACGGCACAGCAGCAGCAGCCTGCGGCGCAGACTACCCCGCCGCCGCCTCCAGAGTTGCCATCATGGTGGGGGATCGACAGCTACGACTCTCACGAGCTGTGGAAGGCGGGCAGCCGCCTCTTCTGCATTAAGTGCGGCTACTGGACGCAGAGTGTCAGGATGACGGGACTCGCGAAGCCGTGCCCACGTGCCCCGAAGAACGACAGGCAGCAGACGGTGCTGGGGAGGCTGAAGCGGGGACTTCAGTCAGCGGGGAGAGGCAGCACTGGCGACTCTGAACCTCTTCGGCGCCTGCGCAGACGCGTGGACGGTTTGGGTCCTTCCCACGCACTTCTTCTGCGGACCGGGAACCAGGTGCGTAGGTTCGCACACGCACAGGTTCGGGCCCTATGCCCTCGGCAATGCAACTAGTCCAGCGTTTGGCCAGGGGCCTAAAAGACGTGTTGCGCTGCTGATGGCCAGGTGTGTCGAACACAGCCTGCATGGCTAAAGTTCGGTGCACGCTGCGTGCCTCCGCGCAGCTCGCTATGAGCAGAAGATGTATGCAACCAGTCCAGCGGGGCGTAGAGCCTGTGGGACGCGTTGCGAAGCGGTCGGCGAGGTGCATCCGTCTGCTCAGCTGATGGGCCCGATCTGTTCAGGCTTTTCGCGCCACAGGCGCTCTGTGCGGAGATCGAACCAGGTGTGTAGGTTCGCTCACATACGGGATCGGGCTCCGAGGCCAGCGGCAAAGCAACCAATCCCTGTGTTGCCAGGTGTTTGTTGGGATAGTTGCTCTGCTGGTGGTTAAGGTGCCGAGCAGCTGCAGTATGCATGGCCTTGTTCGGTGCACGCTGCTCCTCTCGACGCTGAGGGTCTGCCTCGGAAGTGAGCGCCAATCCGTCTGGCGCGAGGCGCCGATTCATATCGCCATCCTTTGAATGGATGACTGCGCGCTTCGCGCGCCGTTCCGCTTTAATGCATACGCTGTCAATATGCGACGGCGCGGCCCGCCCGCCCATTCGATGTGGAGGGTGAACCGCGAGCGTAGGTCTCCCACGCTCTGGATCTTCTCCGCTGGCCCGAGGGACAACTGTTCAAGGCGCCTTGGCTTTGGACGGGTTGTTCATCGGGTGCGGTGTGCAGCCAAGCTGCGTACCAGCCCGCTAGATCGTGCAGCTGGGGCCCGTGCCTATTGCCGAGCCGGCTGAGTCGCTTCGTCTGATCGGATCTGTCGCCCGCTTGCTTTTGCTGAGGTGGATGGCTACTCCTGGCATTTGAGTGACTCTGCGTGTGTGCGTCGCACGAGACCAAGCGTTGCCTCCGCATGGCCAAAGGGAAACGCCTCGGTCCGAGGGCCAGTATGAGCAGGGAGCTCATGTTCCTTTCAGACGCGGGGATCATCATCAGCATCATCATCAGCATCATCAGCATCATCAGCATCGTCATCAGCATCAGCATCAGCATCAGCAGCAGCATATCAGCAGCTTCAGCATCAGCATCATCGGCATCATCATCATCATCATCATCATCATCATCATCATCAGCATCATCATCCTCATCAGCATCATCAGCATCAGTATCATATCATCATCATCATCAGTATCATCATCATCATCATCATCATCATCATCATCATCATCATCATCATCATCATCATCATCATCTCATCATCTCATCTCATCATCATCTCATCATCTCCTCTCATCCCTCCTCCTCCTTCTCTCTCCTCCTCCTCCTCCTCCTCCTCTCCTCCCCTCTCCCCTCCTCCTCCTCCTCCTCTCTCCTCCTCCTCCTCCTCCTCCTCCTCCTCCTCTCCTCCCTCCTCCTCCTCCTTCTCCTCCTCCTCCTCCTCCTCCTCCTCCTCCTCCTCCTCCTCTTCCTCCTCCCCCCATCCTTCTCCTCATCATCTGACTCCTCCTCACACTCCCCCTGAAATCATCGCCGCCGCCGCTGTCGCCGCTGTCGTCAGTCGTCGTCGCCGTCGTCAGACGTCGTCGTAATCCTCGCCGCCAGCGCTGTCGCCGCCGCCGTCGTCGTCGTCGTCAGCGTCAGCGTCGTCGTCGTCATGCGCGCAGCGGACGGCGGGCCTTGCAGCTGCCGCTCGCGCGCCTCCTCGCGTTGCGCGGCTAGCCTCTCGTGCTCCTGTGCGCGCGCGCTCTAGACGCGGCGGCCGCCTCAGACCAGTTAAAGCCTGCCGAAGCCTATTGGACAAAGAAAGGAACACCCCGAACACAGCCGGGTGGGCTCCCTACTTATCCCGCTCCCTGCCCTTCCCGGCGCGCGCTGGCCTCCTGGCCGGCCAACCGTTTCACGACCTAGGAGGAGGAGGAGGAGGATGATGAGGAGGAGGAGGAGGAAACATGATGGACCCACGAACCCGGAAAGGGATAAAGACATGTGCAGCATGGTAACGTTTTCACGATACCCAACTGGGCGACATCTCACGAAACATCCCACGAGACACCCCGCGAAACATCCCAGGAGACACCTCACGAAACATTCCACGAGACACCTCACGAAACATTCCACGAGACACCCCGTGAAACATTCCACGAGACACCCCACGAACGGGCAACCACTCAACCAGACACCCCACGAAACATTCCACGGGGGTGCGACTGGGTGTGGTCGTGCTGGGGTGTGGTCGTGCTGGGGTGTGGTCGTGCTGGGGTGTGGTCGTGCTGGGGGGTGGTCGTGCTGGGGGGTGGTCGTGCTGGGGGGGGTCGTGCTGGGGTTGGTCGTGCTGGGGGTGGTCGTGCTGGGGCGTGGTCGTGCTGGGGCGTGGTCGTGCTGGGGTGTGGTCGTGCTGGGGTGTGGTCGTGCTGTGGTGAGGTCGTGTTGGGGTGTGGTCGTGCGGGGGTGTGGTCTTGCTGGGGTGGGGTCGTGCTGGGGT